TGGTGACAGTGACAGTAAGCAGCCTGTGACGGCCAGTGCCCTGACCCCCCACCCCTAACCTTTTCCTGGCCCCTGCAGCCCCCCTGCAGGCCCTCTACCTTGAAGTGGTTCCTGTCACTGGCGTGAACCAGGAGGTGAACCTCACAGCTGTGCTGCTGCCCCTGAACCCCAACCTCACCGTCTTCTACTGGTGGATCGGTCACAGCCTGCAGGTGCGCTGGCCCCGGGCCCCTGGCCGGCCCTCCTTCCTGCAGGCTCCCACCTGGGGCAGATAGTGGGACAGGCACTGCCCTCCGTGTTGGGCAGGACACAGTGCGTGACATCGTGGAGCTGAGGCAGGCGCACCCCAACCCTTCCTCCCCCTTGAGCAGCTGTGTGGGGTCCGGCTTTGTCCGAGTGTGGTGGACGCAGGAGGTATAGGATCAGACTCTGCCTTTTCCTGGGAAAGACATGTGAACAGAGTAGGTGACCGAATTAGGGTGTGGCAAGGGTCACAGGAAGGGGGCAGGTGACCCATTTGAGAGCTCCAGGGGAGACAGGCCATTTCAGGTTTGAGCGTGGGGGTGGTCAGGGAAGGCGTCATGGAGGAGGGGGTCACTAGGGCTGGGCCCAACTTCAGAAGCCTCACCCAGGGCTGTGGGTTGTGTCCTGTAAGCAGTGGGGAGCGGAGGACAGAAGCCTGGTGGGAGGGGCCTCGAGACCCCAAGGGGGCATTGTTCCTTCATTCTGCACTGCTGCTCTGCACCTCCAGTCAGAGTCCCCAAACAGCGGCTGAGAGCCCAGACGGGAGGGGCTGTGTTTGGAGGGCTGAGGGAGGGGCTCCGGCCCTGGTTTCAGTCGCAGCTGGGCCACTTCCAGCTGAGCTCCTGGGGCCGGTCACCGCACCTCCCAGAGCCTCAGTCTCCCGTCTGCGAGGTCCGAGCTGATATCAACACCCAGCCCTGATGTGTGTGCCCCCTGGCTCTGGGGTCCGAGGAAGAAGGGGCCACGCCCAGCTGAGTGAGGGGGCGGGACGATGAAGGGGATGGGGAGGGCGCCCAGCCCGCAGCCACATGGGCCCCCGACACTGGCTATAGTGGGGGTCTCGGAGCCTCTGGAGGGGAGGGGCGACTGGGAGACTCCTGTTCATGCTGGGAGCCTAGAACCAGGCCCTCCCCATGCCCCCCGGTGCCCGCGTCGTGATGAGAGTGGGGGGAGTGCGCGTCCTCAGTGCGGCCCTGGGCAGCAGACTGACCGCGGGGCCCACTGTTCAGCCTGGCCCTGATCCCCGCTTGTGCCCGCAGCCCTTGCTCTCCCTGGAGAACTCTGTGACGACACGGTTTGGGGACACGGGGGACGTGCGTGTGACGGTGCAGGCCGCCTGCGGGACCTCGGTGCTGCAGGACTCCAAGGTGGTCCGCGTGCTGGGTGAGTCCCCCACCCGCCCTGGGGCGGGCAGCGTATCCCCTCCTTCTCAGGCGCCT